AAATTTAAAATTTTATTATTTTAATATCTTACCTGTCTCAAAGGGAAATGCAAAGTTTTGCTCAGTAAATTAGCAGAAATACTCATCATAATTTTATAGAGCCATATATACGTGTACACACACACAGAGACAGGTAGAATGTATCTTCTTGACCAGAGAAATGCCATTTCTACTTCAGTAGCTTTATTAACTTAAATAAGGCTGACAGAAATTTAAGGCTGAATGAAATTGAAGATTCATAGTATATATAAGCTTACCTCCTTCAGAAGTTCTGAATATTATAGTATCACTTTTTATGTTGCCATCTCCAAATCTTGTACTTGCTGTTAGGTAAGCGCTATACTCATAGTTATTTTCCAGGTCTGTGAACTGCAGTGATGTTTCTGTTACATTAACACTCCTTTTTGACATTTTATTCCTAAAGAAAAAGTATTTTATTAATTATATATACACACCATTTCTGTATGTATACAACTATGGCATATGATATAAAATTGAAAAATGCAGTATTGCGGTAAATACAAATATTTTAGGCTTTAAAAAAAGACTGGGATAACTTTTGTCTTTTATGTTGAAAAGCTCGCTTTTGCACTGTTGCATCACAACAGGGCTCTTAATTTTGCTTTAAAAAAACAAACAAACAAAACCCCAACAGAAATATATTTCTAAATTACAGCAGTAAAGATAATGATTATATGGAATATCAAGGAGGAACATGTCCATCTAGTAAATGCTATTAAATGGTTCTGTGGTACCCTTGGGAAGGACACAGTAGGGCATAACTAAACTGTCTGCCTGGACAGGAATAGCGAAATATAAAAAGATTATAGCAGGGAGCATGCCCTACTGTGACTCTGTGAAATTGGTCAGAAGGCTGAAGTTATAAATGGAATAATAGAAGATGATATGGAACAGGAATTAGCTGGTGCTGAGTTAATTCTGGTGGAATGTAGCAGGGGATCAGAATGGAACTCTAGTCAGGTCAAAACCCGCCTAGAAAGACTACAAGATGTAACATTAATAAAACGCTGGTATTAGCATAGGTATGAAATGATTATCAGAAAGTAAAATAAGATACAGAAATAACTAACTTGAGTTTTAAAAGTCTGATATTCCTCATTAAATTAATGTAATATTTTATGAAAAAATAGCAGGAAAAAAAGCTAGCTAATGTTCTATTCCTGCAGAGATTTCTGTATGAGCGAGTTCCCTGTGCCTTTAATGGGATTTTGTACAGGGATGATAATTTGACAACTAAACCCAAATATCTTGCTCCAGGAGTCACTGTGGAGGTCTTTACAAACAAGAGAAAGAGTTCTAATTCTAAGAAAAAGAAAAGGGAAAGGCTGATTCAAAATTATTAGATGGGTTGATTTTCATCCCTTGATAATGAATGTCCTGTTAACAAAGATCACCATCTGATACCCCTGAAATAAAGTTACATTAACAAACAATTGGAATGAGAAAATGCATGAGAATGAATAAACTAAATTCTCCTATCCTTGTCAGATTTTAAGTGGAATGTCTCTTGATGTGGGAAACGTTCTTGGTAACAGAGAAAATTAACAACATTTACATTTTCCCCAAACTTCTGACATTTTGAATACTCAGTAAAGAGATACAAAAGGTTGCAGCTGCAGTTACCAAATTCTATACAAAGAAAAGATGTATTTTCCTGGATCTTTGCCCAATATAGTCTTAGTATGGAAAAAGTAGCTTGTTTTAATTTAAGTAAGAGTTAGATCCACAGCTTAGTGTTGCAAACACTTCCATTCTGAGTAATTGCATTCTTATAATATCTTATTTGCCAAAAAATGTTTCCACAATCAGGCATAGTTAGGAAGAAGACAAAAAGCTTGGGGTGTTTCAAGAAAAGTTGATATTCTGTTTAGAAACAACTGAGATTGCAATCAAAATAAGAAAACACTGATCAAAGTGAGTGCAGTCTTCACAGACAATGAGAAAGTATCTAGCAAAATAAGCTAAGCCCAGGAATTTTAATGAAGAACAGTATTATTAAGTTTTAAATGAGATCTTTCAGAAACCTGTACAAAAGAGGTTCTAAGAAATTGCACACTTTCACTTGACAAAGACAGGTACCATATATTGTTAAAAACCTGTACCTCAAAGTAGATCTAGTCAGTAAATATATCACAAAAAAAATTGCTGAACAGGATAATGCCAAAAGACAATAGCTATATACTATTTCAGCATTTTTGTTAATATGCCTTTAATACTCTAGAAATGCAGACTCGGGGAGTATGAGTTTGCAGACTCAAAGCATGCGGAAAGTTGCTTTGCTTCCTGCTACCACCCAAAACCACCTTGTCCTGGGACAAATTCCATGAAAGATAATAACAACGAAAATGTTACAGATACTACCCTTTCTATTCTAGTAGTTGTGGATCCTTGTTCTCAGTCCATTAAGGAAAGGTTACCAAATTCTCTATGACTGTTGCAATATATTTAAGAGAAGGAACATTTATTTAACGTCTGTATTAACCTTCCTCTTTCTGCTTTATTGAGAGGCTCTGGGATTAACAGTTTCCCCCAAAATATATTAAATGCTTCCCAAGAACAGCAATTATGGCACAACAGTTTGCCTTGTCAAATCTCACCCTCCAATGCATCTTATGAAATTGTATAGAAAATTCTGTTAAGTACTTAAAATTCTGCCCCCTCTCCCTCCCCCCACAA